GTATTCATTTCATAGCACTTTGTAAAGATGAAAATTTTGTTTTGCAATATGTCTCATAATGTTTAGTCAGAAACTGAGATTGTAATTAATCTAGATTTGGAAACAAATAATACGCAAATTTTCTTTGGTTTGGATTCAAACTGAGGATTTGATTTAACAACTAATTTTTTCCTGCTTCAAAACTCCCAGAAATGAGGTCTGTGCCCACTTCACTTCACATTTGTAATTATAAATGGGTCAAGTGGTTGTGGAACACTAATGTGATGCGACCCTAATAATGAAACGAAAGTTGTTAAACTAGCCATTCTAGCCCGACGTGCTGTTTTTTTTTAGGTATATTTTCGACATATATATTACATTCTCGAGAAATGTTAATATCATGGTAAGGTGCTACGGAAACGAGCGATATTGTGTGGTATGCTAGTTGAGACTTTGATGTTGTGAGATCGCTGTTCACGGGACAGCTGCGTATGAAGCGAAGATATGTATTGCGTGTATCAATATTGTGAAATCTTTGCTCATCTACTCGAATGTCGGGCTCATTTTGGCCAATATGGCGCATCTGTCAAGCACTTTCCAAAGTACTAAGTAAGTATATAACAAGTATACTAAGTATATATATATATATATATATATTTATATATATATATATATATATATATATATATATATATATATATATATATATAATTCCAGCAGCCGGAAATTACATGTCACGTTGTTTGTCCGCGATGGACTCCTAAACTACTTAACCGATTTTAGTCAAATTTGCACACCGTGCGCAGTTTGGTCCAACTTGAGAGATAGGATAGTTTTTTGTCCATGAGTGAGCCCACTTTTTTTTTTTTGCGAATTTAAGGTTTTTTTAATATATATCATATATATATATATATATATATATATATATATATATATATATATATATATATATATATATATATATGTATATGTATGTATATACTAAGTACCTAAATATATTAAAATCATATATCAATTGAAACGTTATTAAATAAGCTATCAGATTATGCATAACAGATATATATGTTATACATATGTATGTTATATATCATATATATGTTACAAATAGTTTTTTTTTATAGAAGGGGCAAACGAGCATGTGGCTCACCTGATGTTAAGTGACTACCGCCGCCCATGATCAACCGCAACACCAGGAGAATTGCGGGTGCGTTGCCGGCCCTTTAGAAAGGAGTAAGCTCTTTTTTTGAAGGTCCCCAGGTCGTATCGGTCCGGAAAAATCGCCGGTGGTAAACTATTCCACAGAGAGGTTGTACGTGGAAAAAACTCCTTGTGAAACGTACAGTGGTGGACCGCCAAGCATCCAGATGGTGTGGATGGTATCGGGACGTTTGACGTGTAGTGCGTTCACGAAATTTGGCGGCTGGGATTAATCCGAACAATTCCTCAGAGCACTCCCCGTGATAGATGCGATAAAATATGCAAAGAGATGCAACATCTCTTCGCAGCGCCAGTGAATCGAGCCGATCGGAAAGCACTCGGTCGTCGACGATTCGAGCCGCTCTGCGCTGGATGCGGTCAAGTGGAAGAAGCTGGTACTGGGGAGCCCCAGCCCAGAGATTTTTGCTATCACTCGACGCGATATTATGGCGTTTGACAGATGCGCATATTATTTGAGACGCCAGAATATGCCGCTTGGACAGACGAGGGTTTATGTGAAAACATAGAGCCTTGGTAGCTCTGGGGCTGTGCGCTCGATGTAAATTTCACAGTACGCGAGCAATCCGGATTCGATACCTGCTGGCACCATTTAAATTGTTAATTGCAATTTTAATTACTAATGTACCACGTGCTTGGCAGTGAAGGAAGACGTGAAAAAACCTACATGTCTGTGAAATAAGAAAAAAATATTTTAAAATATTAGATATTCGCCAACAGCCATTGGGGCAGCGCGGCGGACACTTCCTTCCCCTAAAACCCTCTCATAAGTGAAAGGAGGCCTGTGTCCAGCAGTGGGACGTAAAACATCATCATTAAAACATTAAGGCCGTGTTTTGTGGTATAAGAAAATAAGCCCACCCCGTCCGGTTGGTGTTGTTAGAGGAAACTGGAAAATGCCAGGAAAATCTTATGGTTACAACAGAGGCGTTAATATCATGTTTATACCAGAAAAAAAAACAGATTGTGGAACTGCCCGCCAATGTGCTCAATCCGCCTACCAAACGTAATGTTGACGGCAAACCAATATAATAAATTAAATGAGACTTTTGCAGTCTGGTAAATAATAAAAAAAACATTAAAAGATAATGTAACGGCGGCTCTACACGTAGGCCAACACAGTGGTGAATGTAGTGGCCAATAGCATTGGCCATCGTGTAGAGCGGGTGTTGGGGCTTCATTGGTATGTATTCGAATGATGGTCCACAAGTTGGCAAAATCTTCTTCATCTTTTGTTAAAAAGTTTTTTTTACAAAAGATCAAAGGATTGTTGGCAGAGATTGGTCACGCGTTTAGTTTGCTACAAGCTCCCAGAGCGATTACACGCACCTGATTAAAATTTTATATTTACGCTTTGTTGGGTTTCTTTTTTTCAACTTTAAACCTTCCTTCTACTTTAATTAGAGCAATTTAATTATTTTTAAACATTTGTTTTAATGGATAAGCTACTTATAAAAAAAATGAACATTTATTCACAATCAGATTATTACGAGAACAATTTTAAATGAAAAAAAAAGCACGTCGCTTATACGTGGTAGAGCCATGCAGCATATTAGATGTATAGTTGTAGCACGAATGGGTCTACTCGACCGGGGAAAGCACGCTCTCACAGAATACCAGCGTAAAATAGTAGCTTAATGCTGCTGTGTTTCGTATAGTGAGTGTAGAGAACCGGAGACCCTTTTTACTGGAAACGAGGCATTCCATCTTAGTCCTCACGTGTAACAACTGAGCGCATCTGCATTTTGATTCGTAATCGAGGATTGGTGTAGATGTCTGGGCCATAGCAAACACTTACCATCATGTGGACTGTGTGCTCGTTTGTCACCCTATCCTATAAAAGAAAAAAACGTCAATTTCTTATAGTTTAATCGTGCAAGTTTTCGAATCATCATCATCATTCCAATCCACAAGTCCACTACTGAACATCCTCCTCCACAGACTGCCGCAAAGCATGGTCCTAAGCACTTTCCTTGTCATGAGTTTTTCATTTATGTTCTAAGTTATAATTAGTATTACTAAGTCAGAGTTAATTATATTTATTGCTTGTTTTTGTCTTCCTAAAATTTTTTTTAAATTACCAAATAAATTATAAGGTGTTTTTTATATAAGTACACCGAATGTCTGATAGAAAAGCAAGTACATCTTTTGCTAAACTTTAAAATCAAAACTCAATTTTAAAACATAGACGAATCGGTTAAACTCCTTTAACTTTAAAATAAGATAAGTTCTAATTAATGGTATTTATTCCAGTTTATGATGTATGTAAGGAATAATAAATAAATAAAATTCCCGTTTAAGACAGCCCTGATTTATATTACATGGCTGAAATAAAGCACTTCTTAATAGGGACGTAAAACCAAATATCAGGCTGACGGCTGAAAGTATGCACTTCATACATTTCGTATATCTATTTACAGTCCCATTAATATTCACTATTCTTTTATGAAAACGTTACCCCCACACTAGGATTTTCTCCTGTATCGCGGAGGCATCCAGACCCTGAACAATTATTTGTAGGACATACAAATAAATACTTGTTCCGTGCGGGATTCAAACCCGCGGCGCCCGGCGCAGCCACTGAGCCGTCGTCTAAACAAATTCAAATAAAATAAATTCGTCCGCACATTGGCCTGAAACAAAGCAAACTGAACGACCTTCCAACATGTGGATGCCATCACAAACTCTTGGCCAATATCTTCGCCACTATGTTGGCCAACGTGTAAAGCCGCCGTAAGATGATGTAATATATAGCGTCTTGTGGGACTTTGTCAAACGTCAGTATAATCAATGGAGTTCTTCTCCATATGTGTAAGTCCTATAATATCAAATATAATATTTGGTGGATTATATTTTAAGTTTATGTAAATTCTTTTTTGTAATACTATTTACATATCTTCGTTTCATATAACATTTATACCTATTTAAAGTATATAACAATAAGTTATCGTATTTATACAATAAAATTGTACTGCAATATTATAAGCTCTAAATTTCTAATTAAATGTAACAATATTTCATTTGTTTAATGTAAAATTTACCATACACTGTGCATTAATGCAATTATCTTCTATATTATATATTTAGCACCTAATATTTATTATAGATTTTGGCGTTGTTTAAGTTTAATAAGAAAAATGTTTTCCCAATGCTATTGTTTAAATGCATTTTATTATTATAATTTATATAAAAATAAATTATCTATCAATAAATTCGGCTTTTTGCACCGTAATAATTCGTTAGAGAAATACTCCGTACATGATGTTATATTGGCTACAATTTGTTATTTTTATCATTTAGACACTGTTGTTAATTTTCTGCTAAGCAATATATTTTATAGATGCATATAATTATGATTTATAATGGATGATGTAAGTAAAGGAATCCGCGCACTTCGTTTCTTTACACTGCTCTATCTTCGTAAGGAGTAAGGAGTGACCCCAGCGCCGACTTCAGTACCGAGCTCAATTGCACTGAGGAGACTTGCGCGGTGGTAAGCCTTTCAACGACCTCCGTTATTCAGTTCTTGTGGACAACAAACTTTCATATGTGGCGGTAAAGGCTTGGTATGGCGTGTGGATCATACCTGCACCGAAGCTGCAGCAGCTGCAGTTGTGGAGGGATGCTTGGGGTAGTAAAAGAGCTGTTCGGGACGGAGCGGGGCTGGAAAGTAAACTACTTCGCCAGTCGATACCATAAGTAGCCAGCCGCTTTAGCCATAACTCCCGCTGCCAGGGCAATCATCACTGGGGCTACAACATGTGATAATTTGAATTTGTTGTCTTCACTGCTTGAGGTGCTATAAGTCATAAGTCATCCCTGGGTTGATCTCTACCACATCGGTAACCCAGAACCACCATGGATTTCTTCTCTCTATTCTCCCCGCTATAGCGTTGTTGAAGCGGTTGACCTGTAGTTGTAGTGTATAATATGTCATATGTCCATCTCGGCTCTTTCTCTAGTTTTTGCTGGATATGTTCCTCCACGACATGTGTTATTATCTCAAGCCTCCTGTGAACATCGTTAATCCCCTCCTCGTTAAGTCCATGCCACAGGACTGCTGCGCATTTGGCTCGATACCCGGCTGTTATCGGCTGTCCGTAGAATATAATATTCAGAAAAGCTACAGCTTCCTTTGTGTTGAAATGTTGGACCTCAGCAGCAGATTTTCTCATGGCCCGCTCCATGACGGTGGATTTTTCATCTGCATATGCGTTCTCTCCCGCTGACATGATGAACAGGTTTGTCTTCAACAGTTGAACACCCGCTGCCACACCTGGGATATTATGATTTATCTTGAAAATATATAATGTATATCAAAAATTTAAATTTCTTACATAACTATTAGATTTTCATTTGTTATTTTATACAAAAGAATATGTGATTGAGAGTATATAAGTTTTTACATGTTTAAAAATATTCTCTTGGAAACCTGAAAAATATTCAAAGGAAGACTTCCATTATATTATGGTTTTATTTGCTGTTTTTGTTGGCGATCTCACAGGTCAAGTTGAAGTTGCGTAGAAATTATAAAAACTGCAATAAACATGTGTGGTTTGTATTTTTTTTATAGAAGAGGGGGCAAGCGAGCATGCGGCTCACCTGATGTTAAGTGACTATCGCCGCCCAT